GGTAAATCTGTCAGTACCGTCAAGTCTGGCTGGCCTTGGCCTCTGGTGGCTGCCCCTGCAACACTGGGGTTGGGTTCTTTCCTTCCCATGAAGATCCCTGGGACACCGTGGGGACCTCATGGAACCAAGGGGATCATTGTGGCACCACTGGAGCCCATGGAACCAAGGGGATCATTGGGGCCCCACTGGAGCCCATGGAACCAAGGGCATCATTGTTGCACCACTGGAGTACATGGAACCAAGGGGATCATTGTGGCACCACTGGAGCCCATGGAACCAAGGGGATCATTGTGGCACCACTGGAGTCCATGGAAACAAGGGGCCATGGTGACACAGTGGGGCTTCATGGAACCTAGAGACCATTATGACTGTGGGGCCTGATGGAACCATGGAGACCATTGTGACCCTTCAGGGCCTGGTGTCACCAAGGGGGCATTATGACACCTCAGGGCCTCCTGCAAGCAAGGGACCATTGGGACACTATGGGGCCCCATGGAACCGAGGGAACAGGGAGCAGGTCTGGCTGCAAGTACTGAGCCCAGCTGGGGTCACGGAAACATCTGCAGGCCCCAGGTGAGATATGAACTCTTTCAGTGCTTCCATCCTCCCTCGAGTGAGAGAAAAGGACAAAATGCAGGCACACAGAGGAGCTACATGAAGACACCAAGGTCAGTGAAGGGGAAGTTGAGTCCCAGATTGGAGGGATGGGGAGATGCCTTGATCTTGGGGCTGAAATCCTCTCGTAAAGCTATGGAGAAGGATGTAACTGATACATCAAACTCTCCTTTTCCCTTTATCACATTGAAAATTATGGAGACTTGACTTGTTCAGCAAAGGCCTCCATGCTAAAGTAAGCAAATGTTGAAGTAGCTGTGATCCCATGAGAAGTTAAAACATTGAAAAAGGGAAGAGTGATGAGATCCTGTGCCTTCACAGGGAGAAGAAAAAGATCTCTGTTCTCAGAGATTAAGATGATTTCAGAAACAGATGAGGAGAACCTTTGCTCTTACACAGCTCATCTTTTAACTAATACCCCATAAGTTGGCATGGCCCATATACACAACTGTAAAAGAGCTTTGAAAAACTGGGAGGGATGTCACAATTGCAGATTGTTCTGGGCAGTTGCTATTCATGGAAATTGAGAGCCACAAGAGAAGTGTTTCTTCTGGAGAAGTCTCTATAGCATGAAAGAGAGATTCCTCTCCTTAAGTGAACACAAGAAAGACTATTCTAGTTGGGTTAAACTGACTGAAAATTTTAGGTTTGTCTCTTTATATTGTCAGTAAGAAAGAAAAGGTTGCAGGGAGAGGAGAAGTGCTCTGAAAGTTTTGTTCTTATTACACTTTCTTTTAGTTGCTATTAATGAACTTTTCCTTATGCCCTCTTAAAGTTTTGAGCCTGCTTTGCCGTTCTCCTAATCTTATCACACAGGACGAAATGAGTAAGTATATTCTAGTGAGTGCACTGGTAATTAGCCAAGACTGAACCCACTACAATAATTGCTGCATTCACCAAGAAATCTCAAATTGGTGAACTAAATCCACTACAGAAATATTTTTGATGAACTGCATTAGAGGAGAGGGAAATCAAGGCAGAGCCATGGTTTGTCAGGATTTGCTTGATCCTAATGAGCCCCGTGGTGCATTTGAAGCTGAGCCCTGGAACTCCAGGGTCTGAGAGGAGATTACACAAACCTTTCCAGGAGTCAAAGTAAGAAGAAAACCCCAAAGTGTCTCGAATCATGGATGCGCCCCACTGAGGTCCATCCCTTACACAGGCTCCTCATGGACTCATTGGAGGAGAGAATTGGAGGCCAGGATGGCACAAAAACTTCTCAGAGATTCAGTGTGGAAAGGAAAAACCAGAGTACCTTAAAAATCTTCAGTATCTCAAAGTATTAATGACCCCCACTTAATGTCAGTACAAAGCTCTCCAGGGACTTGTTAAAGCAGATAATTAGGGCCATGATTGCAGAAACCTCTCACAGAGTCTGTATCAAAAGAGAAACACCAAGTACCTTAAAATAACTGAAGTAACTTGAAGCATTAATGAGCCCACTGAGTGTCATTTCTGATAAAGGCTCTCAAGGGACTAATTACAGCAGATAATTGTAGGCTGTGACTGCACAGTCTTTCTCACAGAGTCTGTATCAAAAGGGAAACACCAAGTACCTTAAAATAACTGAAGTACCTTGAAGCATTAAGGAGCCCCAGTGAGTGTTGTTACTGACAAAGCCTCTCCAGGGACTAATTACAGCAGGTAATTGGAGGCCATGATTGCACAAACGTCTCAGAGACTCCAAGGCAAAAGCAAAACCCAAAGTCCTTTGAAAAACTCTGAGAACATTAAGGAGCCCCCAGGACAATTCCTGAGCAAGGCTCCCCAGCGACTCCTTCCAGCAGATCCTTGAGGCCACTGGGATGTGGGCTAGGAGAGGATGCTGAGGGCAGGACAAGGGGCTGACAGTGCCCAGCCTGGCTGGGGCTGTGCCAGGAGGCCCCACTGCCTCAGGACAAGGTGTCTCCTCCCAGCCCTTGTTGGCACAGACCCTGCTGTGCCCCAGGGCACCAAGACTTGGATTCTCTTTGTCCCCACCTGTCATCACTGCCTGCAGTTCTCTGCTCTGCCTGGGGCCTAGGGACACTTTCTCAGTGGTGTTCCTCAGTGGGACCCATTAAAAGTCCAAGAAACTTTGGAGTTGGATTCTGCCTTGGAAGTCTGGAGAGGTTTCTTCAGCTGCCTCTCAGGGACTGATGTTCAGGGCCTGAGCACAAAGCCCCAGAGGCTCATTAATGTTCTTGTGCTGTGTCTGTGCTGCTGAGCTGGGCTTGGCTCCTTCCTAAAGAGCAAAGAAGAGCTTCAAAAGCACATTTTTCTTGATGACCAACTCTTCTGCCAGCCCAGCAGGGCTGGGGCACTGCCTGCAGCCATGCTGGGCACAGCACAGAGGCACAGAGAGCTTCAATCAGTCAGGGCTGGGAAGGTGCTGAGAAGTGCCTGGTGCAGAATCACTGCCAGCCCTTGGCACAGGAACCTCTGGCTGCAGGACAATGCAGCTGCAGCTCCTGGAGTGATCTCCTAAAGCTGGAACATTGCAATGCCTACAGACTCTGTGAGTACAACTCTTGAGTATTTGTGGTGCAGTGGAGGTGAAATGCTCATGAAGTTCTGACATGCTGAGGTGTTCTGATCAGTTGTAGAATATTACCAAGACAATGACTTTGATAAAAATGAGGAAATTTACAAAGACCAGGCATTCAGTTTCCAACTATTGGAGCATGGCAGGGAGGGAGGGATAAATATTAGTGGTTGATTTTTAATTAAGATTTTTCAAAAGTGCCTGAGAGATCTGAAACTGTTACTTTTAGTAATCAATAGGTTCACAGAAGATCCCTAATGTGCTTTCCGCCACTCTGCCCATGGACAGCACCAGCATCACCTTTGCTGGAGCCATCAGGCTCAGTCTGAGCTGTCCTTTCTCCAAGCTGCAAACAGAACCTGCCTCCAGCCAGTGCCCTGCAAACAGGCAGGATTCTGTCAGGCTAAAGGAGAGTGCACAGAGATTTGGGGTCTATGAGTGCTGGCACAGGGAGATCAGGCACAGGGAAACACCTGCAAGAGGGAAATCTCCAGGATACAGAGAGAAGATCAGGCACGGAGAGAAAACAAAACCCGGCAATGCTGTGGCAGGGAGAGTTTAGAGACGTCCACAGGAGCCCCCCCAGAGCAGCCCCTCCCTCTAAACAAGCCCCCTCCCTCCTGTGCCCCAGCCCAGCCTCTGCCCTCAGGGCCGGGGCTCCAAGGCGTGCAGCCCCTCCTGTGCAGGCAGAGCTGCAGCAGAGCCGTGGGGCAGCTCTGCAGCCCCGGGCCCAGTTCCCTCTGCAGAGCACAGGGCTGGGAGCAGCTGCCTGGCCCTGAGGGGCTCTGGCAGGGGGCACAGCTGGCTCAGGGTGACACCGTCCCCAGTGCCCGGCTCTGGGTGATGCTGTCAGTGCAGCCAGGGAAGGAGCTGCATCTCCCTTCATCCAAAGCCATCATAAGGACACTTGGAAGTCTCCCTGAGATTTCAGTCCAGGCTGGGAGCTCCAATCCAGGATGCAAACCTGTCCTAGAGCACCTCTGAATTATAAGAATGATGGGGAAAGGCAGATGTGTTCTGACACTGAAAATGCTGCTGGGTTGGTGAAATGAGCAATGTGAATCCTTGGCTACAAATGTGGAGCTGGGCTGTTGTGGTAACATCCGCTCTCAGCAGTGCATGGGACTTTTTTAGGGGAAGCATGGGAAGGTGATCATCCTCCCCTTGAGAAAGTTTAAAACCCAGAAAAATTCTGAAGAGGTCAGAATGACAGACCACCTCCTCCCATTCTCCACTCATCACTTCACCTCAAAGAACTTGCTCTATTCTCTCTGAGGGAAGCAGAAATGTTGAGGATTTATAAACAAGAATACCAGGACAGTTCTGGGGGTGCTTATGAAGAACTCATGAAGACAAAAGACTGTCTGGTGTTACAGAAGAGGGTGTATGGGAAATGGCTGTGATTTTGGTTGCAGTTATCTCCTCTAAATCTGCACTGTCCTTAGACCATGAACAGGTCCCCATGGCCAGAGACAGGAAATGTCCAACAGCAGCACCATCAGCCACTTCCTCCTGCTGGCATTGGCAGACACGCGGCAGCTGCAGCTCCTGCACTTCTGCCTCTTGCTGGGCATCTCCCTAGCTGCCCTCCTGGGCAACGGCCTCATCATCAGCGCTGTAGCCTGCGGCCACCACCTGCACATGCCCATGTTCTTCTTCCTGCTCAACCTGGCCCTCAGCGACCTGGGCTCCATCTGCACCACTGTCCCCAAAGCCATGCACAATTCCCTCTGGAGCACCAGGAACATCTCCTACAAAGGATGTGCTACCCAAACATTTTTATTTGTTTTTCTGTGCTACAACAGAGTATATCCTCCTGACCGTCATGTGCTACAACCACTACGTGTCCATCTGCAAACCCCTGCACTACGGGACCCTCCTGGGCAGCAGAGCGTGTGCCCACATGGCAGCAGCTGCCTGGGCCAGTGCCTTTCTCTATTCACTGCTGCACACAGCCAATACATTTTCCCTGCCCCTGTGCCATGGCAATGCCCTGGGTCAGTTCTTCTGTGAAATCCCACAGATCCTAAAACTCTCCTGCTCCAAATCCTACCTCAGGGAGCTTGGGCTCATTGCAGTTAGTGTCTGTTTGGTATTTGGTTGTTTTGTGTTCATTGTTTTCACCTATCTGCAGATCTTCAGGGCCGTGCTGAGGATCCCCTCTGAGCAGGGATGGCACAAAGCCTTTTCCACCTGCCTCCCTCACCTGACTGTTGTTTCCCTGTTTGTCAGCACTTCAGCATTTGCTCACCTGAAGCCCCCCTCCATGTCCTCCCCATCCCTTGATCTGGCAGTTTCAGTTTTGTACTTGGTAGTGCCTCCAGCCCTGAACCCCCTCATCTACAGCCTGAGGAACCAGGAGCTCAAGGCTGAAGTGTGGGGACTGATGACTGGATGGTTACAGAAACATTAAACTGTTGGTCAATTTCTGCAAATCACTTGTAATAAAACTCATTTTGTATACTTCTTGTTGGTTTCATTTTGGAGATCTGTTTTCTTTGTTTTAATTTTTTCATATTGTCAACAAAGTAAAACCATTCCTTGTGCCATTTTTCATTTTGTTTCTCTCCACCTTGCCTGTGGCCACAGACTGTGTCAATGAGGGGCTGCGCTCTTGGTGGCTTTAAAGGAACTAAAGGATCTCCCAGCAAATTTTTCTGCAGAGATGCCCTTTTGTTGCCTTCTCTGGAGCTGCAGCAGCAATGGCTGTGTGCAGAGCTGGGGGCAGACCGGTGCTGGCCCAGCAGCTGTGCCCAGCAGCAGCAGCACTTGGTGTTCCAGTGCTGCTGCCGTGGCCCTGCCCCGCTGCCCTGGTGGCCCCGGTGTTTCTGTAGAGCCTGAGTGCTCTCAGGGCTGGGCACAGCCCTGGGGGTGGCAGTGCCGGGGCTGCAGCAGAGACAGGCCAAGTAATATAATTAATTTGTAATATAAATAATTTGTAATATAAATAATCTTTGATAGTTCTTTTGGCTTTGTTCTTTTTTTCCCCTATGTTTTAGTTTTTTCAATATGGTCCATAAAGTAAAACCATTGTTTTTCCGTTTCTTATTTAGTTTTTCTCCGCCTTCCCTGGAGCCACTTACTGTGTCAATGAGGACCTGCACTCTTGGTGGCTTTAATAGAACTAAAGGATGTCCCAGCAAAGTCTACTGCACAGATGCCCTTTTGTTGCCTTCTCTGCAGCTGCAACAGCAATGTCTGTGTGCAGAGCTGGGGCAGATCAGTGCTGGCCCAGCAGCCCTGCTCCTGCTGGCCACACTATTCCTGATCCAGGCCAGGAGCCATTGGCCTTCTTGCCCACCTGGGCACACTGCTGCCTCATGTCCAGCCTGCTGTCCATCAGTCCCTGCAGGTCCCTTTCTGCCTGGCTGCTGTCCAGCCATTCTGTCCCCAGCCTGTAGTGCTGAAGGGGTTGTTGATGCCAAAGTGCAAGACCTGGCACTTGGACTTGTTAAATCTCACCTTGTTGGGTTTGGGCCCTGCATCCAGCCTGTCCAGGGCCCTGTGCAGAGCCCTCCTATTCTCACACAGATCAACACTCACATACAGCTTGGTGTCATCTTCAATGATGTCCTTGGTTCCATGGTTCCTCAGTGTTACAATGGCCTCTTGGTCACACCAGGCCCTGCACTGTCACACTAGTGTCCTTGGATCCATGAGACCATGCAGAGCAACAATGGTCTCCTTGGTTCCATGGGGGCCCATAATGTGATGATGGGCCACTTGTTTCCATGGAGCTTCACAGTGTCACAATGTTCTCATTGGTGCCACAGATTCACAGTGGCCCCTTGGTTCCATGGGGCCTCAGGGTGTCAGAATGGCCCCATGGTTACATGAGGTCCCACACTGTCACCATGGTGTCTGTGATTCCACAAGTCTCCTCAGCGTCACAATGGACTCCTTGTTTCCATGAGGCCACACAGTTTCACAATGTTCTTCCATATCCCTTGAGACCCCATCGTGTCACAATGTTCCCTTGGTTACAGAGGATCCTGCAGTGTCACAATGTCCCCTTGGTTCCATGAGGCCCTGCAGTGTCAGAACGGCCCCATGGTTCCACTGGGTCCTGGAGTCTCCCAATGGTCTCCTTGGTTTTGCAGTGTCAAAATGGTGAAACCCCTTGGCTACACAAGGCCATGCAGTGTCACAATGGCCTCTGCGGTTCCACGAGGACCCAGAGTTTCACGGTGCACTCCCTGGTTCCATTTGGCCCCACAGCACCACAGTGGATCCCTGGTTCTGTGGGGTTGCACGGCGTCACCATGGTCCTCTTAGTTCCACGAGGCCCTGCAGTGTCACAATGGCCCCAGAGTGTCCCAATCATCACAGAATTACAGAATCAAATAGGCTGGAAAAGATCTTTGGGATCATCAAGTCCAACCAATGCCCTAATACGGCCTTGTCACCCACACCATGCCACTAAGTGCCACTGGAGAGGGACAGTGACTCTGCCTCCTCCCCCTGGCCAGCCCATTCCAATGCCCACTCACCCTTTCTGTGAAGAACCTCTTCCTATTGTCCAGCCTGAGCCTCCCCTGGTGCAGCTTAGGGCTGTGTCTTCTTGTCCTGCCCTCCAGCAGATCCACACTCACACCCAGCTTGGTGACATCTGCAATTTGTGAATGCTGGACTCGATCCCCTCAGCCAGATCATCAGTGAAGATATTAAACGGGACTGGGCCCAGCACAGATCCCTGGGGGACACCACCAGTACCTGGACACCAGCTGGATGCGGCACCATCCCCCCCATTCTCTGGGCCCAGCCTCCAGCCAGCTCTTAAATCTCCCAGCGAGGAGGGAACCTGCCCAAGCCGTGGGCTGCAGCTTTTCCAGGGAATTCTGTGGCTCATGGTTTTAAAGGCTTTGAAGTCCAGGAACACAATATCCCCAGACTGTCCTGCATCCACAGGTGAGTCACCAGGTCATAAAAGGAGACCAGGTTGGTCAGGCAGGACCTGCCACCTCTAAATCCTCATGGGCTGGCTCTGATCCATCGGCCATTCTGTGGGTGCCCTCTGATGGCACTCAAGGTGATCTGTTCCATAACCTTGCTGGGCACCCAGCTCAGGCTGACAGGCCTGGAGTTCCCCAGATCCTCCTTCCAGCCCTTCTTGGGGATGGGCTCACACTGGCACCTCCAGTCCTCTGGGACCTCCCTTGTGAGCCAGGACTGATGGCAAATGATGGAGAGCCGCTTGGGGAGCTCATCCACCAGCTCCCTCATCCCCCTGGGATGGATCCCATCTGATCCCATACACTTGTGAGCATCTGAGTTTCTCAGCAGGTCACCAGCTGCTTCCTTCTGGATTACAGGGGGGCTGTTCTGCTCCCTGTGCCCATCTACCAGCTCAGGAGAACACTTGTGCTGAGGAAAACCTGTCCTAATATTGAAAATAGAGACAAACAAGGTGTTAAGTATCTCCGCCTTTTCTTTATCTCTAGTTACTATATTCCTACTGCATCCAATAAAGAGGAGAGGTTCTCCTTATCCCATGTTTTGCTATTATCTTGTTTTATAGAAACATTTTCTATTTTTTTTGCAGAAGTGGCCAGGTTAATCTCTAAGTGATCTTTCACCTCTCTACTTTTCTTTCTGCATAACCAAAAAACATCCTTAAACACTTCCTAACTTGCTTGGCCTTCTGTCCAAAATTTATGCAGTCTCTTTTCCCCTGAGTTCCCACAAAAGCTCCATGGGCAGCCAGGCCAGTCATTCTCCTCACTAGCTCATCTTTTGCCATACTGGACAGGCTGCTCTTTCCCCCTTAGGATTACTTTCTTGAAATGTGTCCATCCTTCCTGGACCCTTTTTTTTTTAAGGCTGTTTCCCTTAAAACAATCAGGACCTGATTTGATACTCCCCAAATCTGCATCCTAAATAGGCCAAAGTCTGCCCTTCCTAATTCCAGTGTAGAAGTTTTGTTGCTGCCCCTCCTTCTTTCCCAGTACATTGAAAACTTGATTATTTCATGGTCACTGTGCCTCAGGCAGCCTCCAAGCCCCACATCTGCCACCAGCCCTTCTCTGTTTGTGAACAGCAGCAGACAGAGCTTTCGTTGGCAGTGAGAGTGTTACCAAAAATTCTGTAAAACAGAAAACTCCTTAACCCCAATGTAGCATTAAGAAGCAGCATTCTTAATTCAGCTGGATGCACAGGGGATAGCTCCTCCCAAAGCCATGCATGCTGAGTACAGGAAAGTTTCTGTTTATACTCTGTATTTTGCATACACATTCATTGATTGTCCTGGACTAAAAATACATATGATAACCATTTCCCCAAAATCATTAACATATTTCCCGTCCACTTTACTCATGCATTCTTCTGTCCTGGGGGTCTCTCTGGTGGTCCCTGGTTCTCATGGACGCCAATGTTCCAGTGGGCCTGGCTGAGCTGGCAGGACACTGAGGCTGGTGAACTTCCAGTTCCCTTCTCACACAATGGGCATTGTGTGGTTTCCATAGGCCTAGAATTTTGGAGAACAAGCTCCAGGTGTCAGCTCAGCTGGTGGAGACAATTTATCATCTGGTAACATGAGGTCACAGAGTGGGCTATGACATCATAGAGTGCCTCTGTGAAATCACAGAGCTGGCTGTGACATTGCAGGGCAGACGTCTGACATCTTAGAGCAGACTATGACATCACAGAGCAGGCTGTGACATCCCAGAGGGGCTGTGTGACATCCCAGCAGGGTTGTCAGGTCTCTGGGTTGGTCACTCCGCCCCAGCTCCCCCTCACAGTTTCTCCAAACAAGTCCAATGCTGTTCATGCCCAGCAGGGTCCCTGTCCCTCGGGATCCCCCCGGCCCACCTGGAGCCACAGCCTCCACCAAAGGATGTTCCACAAGATCCACCCCAGAGCCTGACAGGGGACAAGGGGCCAGGGCTGTGTGACCAGGACATCAAGGATGGGGATTATCCAGGTCACTGAGGCCTGGTTTGGGTTGCCCAGGGCAGAAAAGATGTCTGGCAGCTGGAGCAGGGTCTGGGAAGGGCCTCCAAGGTGGGGCTGGAGCCCCTGGGCTGTGAGCAGAGGCGGAGGGAGCTGGGCTGGTCCAGCCCGGAGCAGGGAAGGCCGAGGGGCTCCTCATCCCAGCCTGGCAGTGCCAGCAAGGAGAGGATGGAGAACACAGAGCCAGGCTCTTCACAGGGAGGCCTGGTGGGAGACAAGAGCCAATGGGTGGAAGGGGAAAGAGGGGAGATCAACCAGGGCATGAGGAGATGAAATGAGTCAGGCTGCTTTCAGCATTTCCTCAACACCAAAAGCAGCCTAACCTCCCTTCTCCCCCACTGTTTTTCCCCCACTCCAGGGCGAGCATCCTGATGCAAGAACTTAATTGTGTTTATATCTATCATAGAACCATGTTTGTCTGAAATTAATTTTAGTATGGAAATCACTTGTGGATGGTGGACTCACCAGATGCTGCTGGGACATAGCACATGGGTCAGGGAAGAGTGCGATTGTCATTAAATTGTGTCCTGTTCCACTGTGGTCTGTTGGCCACGAAGAGAAAGTTTCTGTGCCCCTGAGTCTCACCAGTTCCTGACCCCCAAAGGACACAAACCTGATGAGTTGTGGTTCCCACTCCAGTGGTGGCACTTGGACCTCCCTCCACACCCAGAGCAGAGGTCCCTTATCCCAGAAAGTCCCTGGCAATGCAGGGATGCAGGAAACAGGACAGTCTGTGGGGATCAGGGGCAGGGCAAGGCCAGCGAGAAGAATGACTTATGCATTTGATGGAGCTGTGCCTTCCCTTGGCTTTGTTGGCTGACAAGAAATGAACATCCCTCTGTGTCTCGGGCAGCTCCTTCTCCAAGGAAAGCAGGTGGGAGTTGGAGCCAAGGAGCTGTAAGCTGCAGGTGCAGCCTGGGCTGGAGGGAGCTCAGATTTGCACAAGGCTGCTCTGAGTGCCAGGGCTTGGATGGGGGAAATGGTGGCGTCGGGTAGGGACAGCATCTGATTGATTGTCAGCCATTAAGGGTCTTGATTTTCATATCTATTCCAACTGCATGAGGAGGTATTTGGATTCAGTGTCAGTTGGAGACTGCATATATCAATAAATTAAGAGGAAAAAAAACTAAACAGGACCTAAGAAATCTTTTCATATTGTCTTTTTAAATAT